TGAATATTCTCATCAGGGCCTTAATGACAGCTTCTGAAGTTGTGGAGGTCATTAAAGTCAGCTCTACCCATTTAGAAAAAGTATCAACCATCATTAGGAATGTTCGCCCATTAAAAGGGCCAGCCAGATCAATATGCACCCTGGACCAGGAGCCCCCTGAATCTTCCCACGTTCCTGGAGAGGATGCTGGTGGAGAAGGTCTGGTGGCCTGGCATGGCTGACAAGCATTCACCCAGCTAGTAATCTGAGCATCCATGCCCGGCCACCATACAAAACTGCAAGCTAGAGCCTTCATCCTGACAATGCCAGGGTGACCCTCATGCAGGACTTCTGAAACTGAGGTCTGCAACTGGGAAGGTCTGCACTACCCTGGTCCCCAAATAAAGCAGCCTTGCAAAGAAGACAATTCTTGCTGGAAAATTTGGAAAGGCACGAATTTGGAAGAATAAAGGGCTGTGGGCCACCCCCTTCCCACCCAGTCAAGGTCTTGGGAAATTACTTTGTCCTTGGCAGAGTGAGCAGCAATATCAGAGACGGTGATGGGAAGCTTGAGGTCATCGATTCAGAACACAGCATTGGTTGGTGCAGGATCCTAAACTGGAACAGGCAGGGGGCAGCGACTAAGGGCATCAAAATGGCTGAGGCTTTTGCCTGCTCGATGAACCAGTGTATAGGAATATGCAGCCAGAAATAATGTCCACCTGGTCATTCTTGCAGACAAAATCTGAGGTGTTTGTCTGTTGCCTGACAGAAGACCCAAAAGAGGCTTATGATCTGTAACTAACTCGAAAGGGTGTCAAAATGGAACTTCTTGACTGAAGCAACTGCATCCTAAGCCTCTTTGTCAATTTGACTGTAGTTGAGCTTAGCTGGAGATAACGTTCTGGAGAAAAAGGCAATGGGTGCCTCAGAACCATTAGGCAGTCTGTGACTTAAAATGGCTCCTATGCCAAAAGGTGATGCATCTGCAACTAAGACTCAAGGCAAATTTTTGTTGAATTGAATTAGAACAGCATCAGATATAAATAATGATTTGACTGCTTTGAAAAATAGGCTTCCTTAGGTCCCCAATGCCACGGGGATTGTTTGTCCAGGAGTCTATGCAGAGGTTCTGCAATGGAAACCTTATGTGGCAAAAATGAAGCATGGAAGTTAAGGAGCCCCAAAAACTCCTGATCTTCAGTTTTGTTAGTTGGTGTGGGTGCCTTGTGAATAGCCCTTACTTTGGATTTGATTGGGTGAATGCCAGAGGTGTCAATACTGTACCACATATATTAAACCTGTGGTGTGGCAATAGTGCATTTCCCTTTTTTCAATTTGAGACCCAACTTTCTGAAACACTTGAGGACACCTCTGACTCTTTGCAGTAACTGTGGCTTGTCTGGGGCAGATATTAAAATGTCATCGAAATAAGGTATTACGCCAGATAACCCTTGAAGCAGTCTTTCCATTAATGATTGGAAAATTCCTGGGGCTACACTAGCACCAAATTGGAGGCGCCTACACTTAAAAACGCACCTGTGCATTACAATCGTTTGTAGCTCTGCGGCTTTGTCATCCACAGGGAACTTTTGATATGCTTGTGATATGTCTAGTTTCACGAAAATGGTTCCTGGCTCAAAAAAATGCAGCAGGTGCTGAGTAATTGGGACTGGATAAGCGCTGATTTGTAAATATGTGTTTAACAAGCACTTGAAATCAGCACAAATTCTTAAACTGCCATCTTTCTTCAAGGGTGTCACTATTGGGGTTTCCCTTTTTGTGAAGGCCACAGGCTCTAATATGCCTTGTTTAATTAATTTGTCTAGTTCCTTGTCCAGCTTAGGATGGATTGCAAAAGGTACTCTTCGAGGATTTAAAGAAATTGGAACTGCTAGAGGGTCCAAATTGAAAGAAATTGGGGTTCCCAAATAAAAGCCTAGGCCTTCGCTGAACACATCAGCATAGTCATTGAACAAGGCATCCACCTCTGAATTTGCAATAGAGTGGATTCCGCCTATATGAAGGCCAAGGGCAGGGAATCAGTCTAACCCCAAAAGGCTTGGGAGGGCACCATCCACTACCACTAAAGGCAAGTGACCGTTAAAATTTTGAAATTGAATAAAAAACTTGCCTTTTTCAGATGACTGGGATGGTTCTGCCTTGGTAGTCACATAGGGTTAAGTTGCAGCCTTGAAGACTCTTCCTTGCCATCCTGGGGAGCTGTCATTTCAATGTGCTCCACAAAATGATAGACAGTGCTGAGCTGATGTCTACCTGCATCCTGCAATGTTTCCCTTTTAAAGAAATAATAACACTGATCTTTTTAGAGCCTTTGATTGTCAGCTTGGCATGGTAGCAGGTGAAACAGTCTTCAATTAGTTTTTGAAAATGCTGAATTGTCTGAGGTTTCTGTGGTTGGGCAAAAGTCTTTCCCGCCTGACAGATCCTGGCTAAATAAGCCTTTCTCTTCCATTTTAGACAAATGGCATTCTTGAACTTGCAGGATTCCCTAAGGTGATTTCCTCCACAGCTTAGACAGATGAGTTGAGATCGTGGAGGTTGACTGGGAACTGACCTGTTTTCCCTCTGACTGGTTTTGGATTGCCTGAGGCGATTTACATAACTAGTTTCTTCAGAGCCTTCCTCTGTGGAGGCTTCATTGTAATGAATGGCTGAGCTGTTCTGACTGACTGGATTTCCCTGAATTTCTGCTGTTGAAAATGCTGACTGCTCTGCAGCTTGAGATTCCTCTATTGCTAATTTTAGGGTCAAATCCCCTTTAGCCAATAGACGCCTTTTTAGCCTTAAGTCCCAAACTCCACAAACTAGTTGATCTAATAGCATCTCCTCCAGATAGTCTCTAAACCCACAGTGCAAGGCAGCTGTTCGTAAAGCTGCCATATACCCACTAATAGTCCCTCCCTCAGCCTGGGTCCATCTCCTAAAAGCATGACACCTGGCAATTCGGGAGGGCTTAGGGGAATAATGGTTAGAAAAAATTTCCTGCAATTCTTCCCATGGAACAGTCTTAATTGAATATGCAGCCAGCAATTCGGTAGCAGTGGCAAACACTGTGGCTCTGCAAAAACTTAAAATGTAAGATTTTTTTTCTATGGTTGGAAATGTCAGCGAGATCTATGGCATCTGTGAAACAGTCGAATCGGTTTCTGTAGGACTCCCATGTCTCTGCTGTCAGTCTGAAAGGCAGGAATGCAGGGTTTGAAGTCATCTCGTCTCAGCGGTGGCGGTTCTTCTGAGGAAAGTTGAAATTCGAGCTCACGAATAGTGACAGTAAGCTCTTAAAGTGACATACAGATCGGTAGTGGCTTTGGCTATTTTTGTAGTGACTTCGCTCAGCAATTCTTTGCTCTTATATGTATCCTGCCTCGTCGCAAGTGTACTGGAGCAGCAGAATAACTGAGGTGAACGCGGAGCAAACTTCAGCTTTAACTTTATTGAAACAATAAAGGGTTGCCGCGACTGCCGCGCTAACAAGGCAGCCAGCTCGCAGGCAACAGCTGATGCCGTTTGAAAGCTCCCTTTTATAGTCAGCTGTGAAATGCATTAGCCAATAGGAACAGTCCCTGTTCCCACGGGCAGCACGGACCAGACTGAAGACTTCAGCTTAGTCTTTTCAGAATGCAACAATAACAAGAGCACACAATAGACACAAACTCAAGGTAAACCACACCAAACTTGATTGCAGAAAATACGACTTCAGCAACAGAGTGGTCAATGTTTGGAATACTCTACCTGACTCTGTGGTTTCTTCCCACCTTAGACTGTCTACTATTGACCTCACCCCTTTCCTAAGAGGTCTGTAGGGTGTGTGCGTAAGCGCACCAATGTGCCTACCTTCCCTGTCTTTTTTGTCTTATTTTTTTCCTTATTCATATCCATTTCATGTATTCATAAGTATGTTTATAGTTATACCTGTTATCTTATAATTGCTTCACAAAATAAATAAAAAACATCATCCCTGAAAACGAAACATAACACCAACAAAACACACAAAGCAACAAAAGCACACATTATTAGCCATAATCTTTAATTTAGTCTAAAACCATTTCAGAACATCTCTGGTAAGAGTTTATCCGGCCTGGTGTCAGAAATTTTATTAATGTCATTGATGATAGTGATGCTTTAACATGAATTCAGATTGTGACAATTGAAAGATATGATTAATTGAAATAGTTTGAATTGTTTTAGCAACATTACTACTCAATTATTATAATTCAAAATGCACACAGAATGAAGAAAAATAAGTGAGAATACATAAAAGATTACTTCAAGATATGTGATTTTATACTGGATGTAAACTGAACAAAAATAAACACCAATACAAGGAGCCTTAATGAGATTTCATCATCAGATGTTCCTTGGTGTTTATGTCAGGTCTCAGTGTAATAATGTAGCACTTTGGAACAAAAATACAACCCAATAAACCTAGGCTGGAGGCCAAGATGGAGAAGATCTGCACAGCCACCATGTATTTCCCTTTGGTGCTCAGGTAGCTGGGGACAAAGGAGATCCAAACACTGCAGAAAACCAGCATGCTGAAGGTGATCAGTTTGGCTTCATTGAAGGTTCCTGGCAGATTTCGAGCCAGAAATGCCACCAAGAAACAGATGGCAGCCAGAAAACCCATGTAGCCAAGGGCAATGTAGAACATGGTCACTGAACCTTCGTTGCACTGCAGCAGGATGTGTTCTGGCTGGGAATGAAAGTCAGAATCTGGGAACGGTGGAAAGATTCCCAGCCAAGTCATACAGATGCCTACTTGAATACCAGAGCAGGATAAAACAATTGAGTGGGCCAGACCCTTCCCCAGCCATTTCCTCATCCTGCTTCCTGGCTTTGTAGCCAGGAAGGCCACCACCACAATTACAGTCTTGGCCAGCAAAGAAGATACGGCGACAGAGAAAACAATACTGAAAATGGTTTGTCGAAGGAGACAGGTCATTTTCATGGGGCAACCGATGAATAGAAGGGAGGTCAAGAAAGAAAACAGGAGAGAAACCAGGAGGATGTAGGTGAGTTCACGGTTGTTGGCTTTGACTATGGGAGTTTCTTGGTGTTTAATGAAGATTCCCAGAATAAAGGCAGTGGTTAGGGACAAAGCAATGGCAAAGAAAGTCAGGATGAGTCCCAATGATTCTTCATAGGATAAGAATCTTATGCTTTTGGGGACACACTGATCCCGCTTCTTATTGGAATACTGGTCATCTGGACACTTTTCACAATGGGCTGCATCTAAAAAAAAAAGTTAGTGCGTATCTCTTTCTGCTGCTGTAGGAGCATGAAAACCGCAACAGAAATCAATTATTTCATTTTCAAGCAATAATATAATATTTCTGCCCATGGATATTCATATGACACAACATTAGTTAAAATAATCAACAACCTTTTTAAAGGCTGAAGATGAATGTGATTATCAGCTCTGAAAACTTGTCCTCTTTCCCAAAACCAAGCAAGAAAGTAACACCTCAATTGATTATTTTAATGCTTGCATCATCATACAAAATTCGGTGATAGTGCTCAATCATTGAAATGTTTGTGGATGCCTTCAAGATGTGTAATGTTTTTTTTTGCTTCTTGATCAAATACGACAAAAAACCAATAGAGAATTTTGATTGTATCCTTGTTGTTTTTGAAGCCACCAACTCTACCTTCTTGCCCAGAGAATGTTCCTTCCATACACAGAGAACAGTCGTAGCAGCAAACTGGGGCTCCCTCTCTCACAAGCTTGGCATAACCTGGGGAGCAACTTTCTGTACATCTTGAATAAGGCACCGTCTAAACATAAACCAAAAGATTTATCAGGGCAATATATTAATTAGAGGCAATATATAAAGAGACGTGGTGGGTCAGTGACTAAGACACTGAGTTTGTCGATCAGAAAGTTTGGCCGTTGGGCAGTTTGAATCCCTAGCACCATGTAATGGAGTGAGCTCCCATTACATGTCCCAGCTTCTGCCAACCAAGCGGTTCGAAAGAACACAAAAATGCAAGTAGAAAAAAAGGGACCACTTTGGTGGGAAGGTGCCAGCATTCTTTGCACCTTCAGCATTCATTCATGCCAGCCACATGGCCACGGAGACGTCTTCTGACAGTGCGGGCTCTTCAGCTTTGAAATGGAGATGAGCACTGCCTCCTTGGTCCAGAAATGACTAGCACGTATGTGCAAGAGGAACCTTTAGTTTTCAACATAAACCACAAGATTAGTATGAATTATAAAAGTTTACTGAAATCAACTGGCTTCCCAAAGTCAGGAGCACATTGAGCAAAATCTGTCAAGAAATAGCGGCATGATCTTTAATTACTCTACTTGCAAGGGACAAATGAAGAGTCATTCTCTTTCCTCTATCAATCTCCATTATATATTCCAAAACAGATTTGTTGCCTTATTCTTCTTTCCAAAGGAAAGAAGATCCATTGCAAAAAGTGTTTCTCCTTAGAGCATGTATGAGAATGCCATAACTTGTATATATTCTTTCTCCATCTTAGCTTTCTCAGGAAACCTCCAAAATCTAGCTTTCTCTAGAGTCCCTATCTTTCTCTCCTACAACTGATCATTGTATCATCATATGTAAATGGATTTTTTTAGCTGCCCTCATTTCCCTCACCACATTCTTAATGCTATCTTCCTCTTATGCAATTCAATGGGCTAAACCCTTCCTATTCTGGATTTTCTCCCCAAGAAGCTATTACAAAAGACAATTCATCATTTCACTGACAACTGATTTTGAATCATCAGAATATTTCTAAAGCTGGGAATATTGGTATGACTGGAAAGAACAAAGATAGGAAATATATTAGTAAATAATGTGAACTGTAAAGGAGGTAGTAATTATATACTCGCAATAAGATGTTCTGACTGAATGGTGGCATATGGAAGGGTTTATATTCCTTGCAGTCATCTGGTCGTTAACAGTCTTTTTGAAAGTTGTTTAGGCCCCTTGGAATTTATCTGTGCCTTCAGGGTCACGTGAATAGTGCAAATGGGTGTGGAACCTTCCTGCAATTGCTGAATCTATATCCTGTTGACAACACAGTCTTTTCAGCAGTTCCAAATCCTTCCATCCTCCACCATTCAGTCAGAACAAAAGAAACTTCTTGGATGAGAAGTGAAACATCTTCAAGGGAATACAAAATCCAGGTGCTTTCTGAAAAAACACCTTTGGCACGACCATGACCTGGATGACTGACATAGACATTCTGTAGTTTCTCTTACTGAAAACAAATTAATTTCCTGTACGTATTCATGTATATTAATTTCATAATTCCATTATGGCAACATATTCCAGTTTAATAATGTAGATTGCAAATTCCGCAATACAATGCAGCAGGTTCCAGTGTGTGACAGATTATTGTAAGACCTCTAAAGTAAAATATATCTAATAAATTAATGAGGCTTTAAGTTCTCTTAGTTGGAAGTTATCTCAATTGGCCTCAATAAGAATTATTTCTGAGCAGAAAATTTACACATATGGAGATAAATAGAAGAGCAAAATCCAAGCAGCCTCAACTACTTTGTTGAATAAAGTTGGCCATTGGACGACACTTTGATTGACAGAAATCTTGACTTCTGAAGAAGATTGGCTTTCTACACTCCCAATTTTCACCCCCACATCTGATTTGTTCGGAACTGATGTCCAGTGCATGATATCAAAATCACCAACAGGAACTCCATTTTCATCAAAAGAAATCCCATCTCTGGAAATATTCTGATGTTGGAAGTTCCTCAGGAATGTATGGAGCTGCAGAAACATAGAAAGAATATTACAATTTGAGTCTTTATTCAATGTTTTCCTTGCTCTTTTTCTGGATTGGAGGTACTCTGAATAATTCAACCTCTTCAAATCATCAAATTTGCAGACAACACTAAGCTGGCAGGAATAGGCAACATCCCAGAAGACAAGCTGAATATCCAAAAAGATCTTTGAAAATTGGATATGGGCCCCTACCTAACAAAATAAAATTCAGCATAGATAAAAGTAAGGATTTCCACTGAGGCAAGAAAAACCAAAAGTACACATTGCAGTCTATGTGAAACTTGGCTTAATGCCAGTACTCGTGGGAAGGATCTTGGAGTCCTAGTGGACAATCACTTAAATATGAAGCAACGATGTGTGGCAGCAGATAAAAATGCCAATGCAATCCTAGGCTGCATTAACAGAGGTATAGAATCAAGATCACAAGAGGTTCTAATATTGCTTTACAAAGCCTTAGTAAGACCACGTTTAGAATACTGCATGCAGTTCTGCTCATCAACAGAATATAAAAAAGGTACTGAAACTCTGGAAAGACTGCAGAGATGAGCAACAAGAAATGATTAGAGGGCTGGAGGATAAAACATACCACAAACAGTTACAGGAATTTGGTATGTCTAATCTAAGGAAAAGAAGGAGTGGGGAGACATGATATCACTTTTCTAATATTTGAGGGGGGGGGTCAAAACATTTCCCAAAGTACCAATAGGCGGGAAAAGAAACAATGGTTGGAGAGAAGCAACCTACAACTAAGAGGAATTTCTGAGCAGTGAGAGCAATCAAGCAATGGAATAGCTTGCCTTCAAATGTTGTGAGTGCTCCGTCACTGGAGGGTTTCACCAAGAGACCTGGGCAACCATTACTCTGAAATGGTATGGTATAGGGTAAGGGTCTTCAAATTTGGCAAGTTTAAGACTTATGCACTTCAACTCCCAGAATTCCTGATCTAACATGACTGGAGGAGGAATTCTGGAAGTTGAAGTCCACAAATCTTAAAGCTGTCATGTTTGAAGATCCCTGGTATAGGGTGTCCTGCTCGATTAGTAGGTTGGACTAGGGAACCTGTGAGGTCCTTTCAAATTCTATTATTCTAAGTTTCATGTTCTGTGTTTTGCAGCTTCACCATCACAGCCCATCTGAGGTAAGGCCATTTGCAGATATGGGGAAACTTGTCATGGGAGAAGATGGAGAATACAATTTTACCATCAGTCCTGGTCAAGATGAAGTTAGCGGAGTTTAACTTTGGGCTAGGAATGTAACAAAAATTGCCTAGTGATGTTATCTCTTTCAAAGAGTAGCTATGGAAGCGTATCCATTAGTTCAGGAGATGATTGGACGAACCTTTGGTTGTCCCCAGAAGATGCTTTGATTTATACCTTGTTGCTACGTTACAAACGTTTAGGAAGCAAAGTCCAATTTTAATCCAGAACAAAAAACCCAGCTGAACTCCTTAGCTTGGAGACTAGATGACTTTGTGATCGCAATAAAAGATTGAGGATTTCAGGACTATTCTGATGCTTGTTTAATTTTGACATTTTGTCAGCATTGAGCTACTTCTGTCACAAAAGCATTCGAAACTAGACAGGTTGTTGAACTCTGGACTATATCAGCTCTCTCTCTCTAACTCACTGACAGGGTTCCAAGTAATATGCCTGTAGCAAACAGGACTCTGAGGTAAGTAGGTTCCTCAAATATCAGTTTTATTGGACATATCATATAGGCATACGCCAGTGAAAACTAACTTTAAACATTACCATGGTTTTCACTTAATTAAAAATAAAAGTTTTGCTCCTCTTTCCAAACTATCAGTTACATGGTTTAATCAAAGTGTCATCCAGTTGCCTGGTGACTTCACTCATCCTCTCTCTGGCCATAGTGGGGAATGTCCTTGTTTCCCAGGAGACAACAAAACCCCAGCTATCTCTATTCCCGCCTCCCTTTCCCTCAATTCCAGGGTGGCAATACTGAAGCATCAAAATGGCCTCAGTCAGGTGAGTTTCAGGGTTGACACTTACTCTCAAATACCACTAACTGGAGAACTGCTCTTTGTAATATCTCACCTTTTGACGTCTAATTTAATATTGAGGAATTGGAAGGGGAGAATCGATGGAACCTCAAAGGAGAATACTCACCTGCCATGGCTGTACAATCTGGGGTGGTTGGTGGTATCCAACTTGCATTCTCCTGTTACTCCATTGGGAGGGAGCGGCAGCACTGAGGACCCGGGCCACAATTTGAATTATTTGGGAAATACTGGAGGAATCCTGAGACAGGATTCTTGCAATCACATCATGGGATGGGAATTCCCAATTCTCTTTTTCTCTGCATTTTTTCCAAACTTTCTTTGATAACAGAGGATTTGAATAGGAACATCGGAATGCTTCCTTTCCATACAATACGATCATAGATGTATAAGATTTAAAGTCGTAATACTGAGTCCTTCGCTTTGTCTGGATGAGGAAGGAAAACAAAGCATGTCTATTTTGGAGATCAACCCAAAAATCAAAAGCACTTACACTTGAAGCTGTCAAAGTTGTGGCAATCCACACCCTTCCTACCACGGACGTATTAATCCTATCAATTATTTTTATTGATGCTGCTAATATTGCCGAGGCCTTATCATCTAGTTGGCATACTATAATTTTTATTTGACTCTTGAGAAGAGAAGAGAATATTTTCCTTTTTTCTTGCATGAGAGTTTCTCCAGCACTTGTCTGTGCATTTGCTTCTGGGACAGTTCCTGAGAGGACAATGCAAATCCCATTTTTTAAGGCAAGAGCTTCCAAGCGTCTTTTGAATTTTTCTCCTCTTTCATTGTCCTGAGAAAGGAGGCCAATCCACGTCCATTGGAACTGCAGGAGCAGCTGGACAATCGTTGAGTAAGGAGGTTCTTGGTTTGGGGTCATCCGATATGAAAAAGTGAAACGATGATTTTGCTCAGCCATCTGGTTGATGACACTGTAGTTGATCTAAGATGAAAGAGAAGGTATTGGCAGTTTTTGCCAGTTTTAACAATGAAAGTCAGATGGTAAATCTAAGGGCCTTCCCCCACTGCTGAGAGATTTTTCAAATGGTAACTGCATGAATTTTGCAAGTTCCCTTCATGTTCTGTCCTGTTGTTTTGTATGCTCACTTTGAAACCAGATGTCAACTCATAAAGCATTCCTAGCTTGCTCTCGAGTTGCCATAAGAAGGAGTGGGGGAAGATCTGATGGAAAAGTTTGTTGCTATGATCAGAAGGACAGTCCATGCATACCTTTCTCCATGTTGTGCCACAAGTTACCAAGCCCAGCCAGAGAGGCGTGGCATGAATTCCACAGCCCGGCGAAAGTTCTTAGTTGGAGAATGTGATTTATGACACACCCTGGGAGGAGGGGGGAAACAGGGTAATAGGTGAACAGTAAATTACATTGGCCAGAGCCGACTGCATTTGGGAAAAGTGCCAACATGTGGCTCCTAATAAATAGTTGGATTTCTTTTGAAACTTGACTTGAGGCTCATGAATTAATTAGAGCATTCGTTGGAACCCTGACACCAGGGAGCTCTGAATTATCTGTGGGTAATGTTCATTGATGGTCCTCATAGAGCACACCCTTCTGGTCACGTTATAACTCAGTGGGCCACCCATCCACTCAGTCAATTAGTAACTCAGAATAGAGCTGGAAAGTCTTCTAGTCAAAACATCTGCTCAAGCAGGAGATTCTACTCCAGGGGTACCAAACTGAAGGGCTGGGGGATGGATCTGGCCTGTAGGGTGCTTAGATCTGGCCTGTGGGAATGTCCTGGAAATAGCAAATGTGCCCCTGCCAGCAAAAAATGGAGCTAGAGAGGGCTGTGCATGGCTCTCCTGACCTTCATTTTCACTGGCAGAGAGTTGCAGGAGGCCATCCGAACCAACAATGGAGCTCGGGAGCCCGTTTTCGCTGGCAGAGGTTTCAGGCCACCACAGCTGCCCCTTGACACAAGTGATGCCATGCTGGCCATGCCCACCTTGGTAATGCCTCCCCTCAAGGTCAAGCACAACCTTGATGTGGCCCTCAATGAACTTGAGTGATACCCCTACCCTAGTCCAACCGCTTGCTCAAACAGGAGACCCAATACCATTTCAGACAAATTACTGTCCAGTCTTTTCTGTAAAAACCGCAGTGATGAAGCACCCAAAATGTCTGAAGGGAAAGCTGTTCCAGTGGTTAATTGTCCTCACTGTCAGGAAGCTTCTCCTTAATTTCATGTTGTTTCCCTCCTTGATTAGTTTCCATCCATTGTTTCTTGTCCTGCCTTCTGTTGCTTTGGAAAATAGATTGACTTCCTCCCCTTTGTGGCAGCCTCTCAAATACTGGAATACTGCTATACACTCGTGGAATATCTTTTTAAAATGACAAACATATTAGTTTCTCATAGATTATTACTGTTTATTTGATTGTTTTATATGTTGGGCTTGAAATACTGCTTGTTATATCTCCCCCCTAGCAACTGGTATATAATATTGGTATATTATTTCATTGTCTACATATAGTTGATTTCTGTATAAACTCTTTAACTGGCTGAATTTATTTCAGACATTTGAAATGCAGAAGTCAGTTTAATAACCTCACTTTAAAAACAAACCCCAAGACAACTGGCATTGTGCCAAGCCCCCGTTCAAAATAAGAATGAATATTATGACATATTTTATTGTGTCTTGTACACTAGAGAAAGTATGTACAAGCTGCTTTATTGAGGAGCGTTCTAGCTATCTTGACCTATTCATTTTTCTTCTTCATTTTTTTTCTTTTAAATTTTCTTCCGTCTCAAGTTTACAAATATGAGGAATTCCTCACTGTGAGAGTTATTAGGAGTTGGAACAGCCTGTCTCCTGGAGCTCCATTGCTGGATATTTCCAAAGAAAAATTGGACAGCAATTTGTCTGTAGTGGTCTGACCATTCCTCCTCTATGGAAGGAGTTGGACTTTTTATTCTATGATTCTGTAGGGGAAAAAAATCTGTTT